GATGGGGCAGCCAGGTGTAAATCAGATGAGCATTTCCACATGGGTGCAGCACGTTTGCACCCAAGGGCGTGCAGGAGCCAGGCACTGCTGGTGGAGCGAGGAGAGGGACCCCCAGGGCCAGTCTGGTGGTGTCTGGGTGCCTCTGAGCTCTTGCAAACTCGTGACAGCCCCTCCAGGGCGGTGGGGCACGGGGGCAAGCTGAGCCCCCGGACACAGGCGCTGCTTTGGTGCCGGCTCATGGTGTGGAGAGCCCTGGCAAGGAATTCAGCTCATGCACACAAGAAAGCAAAGCCCTACCCCAAAGCAAAAACCCGAAAGCTGTGATTGAAAGCGCACTTGAAAGCTGCTGGGGAATATGAATGTGGCTTTGAAGTAAAAGGGCTTCCATTTGTTAAGCAGAAAATGGAGCTGTGTGTTTCGATTTACAGTTTTACTTAGCAAATAAAACAGGAGAGGAGTAAGTGTTTATGCCTCGCTCTGCTCCCAGCCCCTCCGCCCCCTTCACCCCCCGAGTTAAAAGCTTGGTGCTTCTGAAACACTACAAAGGCAGGCAGGAATAAAGCAAAGCAAGCAGCTTAGAGAAACCCTGGATGGGCTGAGCTCTTGTCCCCAAGCTTGTGAAATGACTCAAGAAGGGGGGAAATGGCCACTGGAGGGGTCTGGGGGGGGGACGGGTGGCTGGGGAGGCGGCCACCAGCATCCCCCTGCCCACACGCTGCCGGGTCATGGTTGTGCCCGTGATGAAGTGGTGGGGTGGGCACATCTCTCACCCCCTTTCCCTCCTCTCTCCGCAGACGATGTCTCCCCGTACTTTAAGACGGAGCCGGTGCGGAGCCAGGTCCACCTGGAGGGGAACCGCCTGGTCCTGACGTGCATGGCAGAGGGCAGCTGGCCCCTGGAGCTCAAGTGGCTGCACAACAGCCAGGAGCTGACCAAGTTCTCCCTGGAATACCGGTGAGTCCCCACCGTGGCTGCCCAGCGCTCGGGGTGAATCCCACCCGGAACACCGGGTGTTGCCAGGCCCGTTGCAGGGGCTGCAGCTCCGCGCCGGGAGCTGCCGGCTCTGTTTGCAAAGCAAACGGTGGATTTAAGCAGGTCAACACCGGGGAGAAGGTGTTTGCACAGGCGGGATTAACACCGGGCTGCAGATCACGGCTGGCTCGTGGCTCCCTGACCGGGGGAGGAGAGAGAAAGGGCAGCAGGAGAGGTGGCCCCGGGTGCCGGCACAGCCCGCGGGGGAGCAGCCGCCCCCTCGGAGCTCGTCTTTAAATCCAGCCAGCACCTCTCGCCATCCCTTCCGTGTGCGTGTGTCACCCGCTCTGTTTTAATCAATAATTCAGGCCGAGACAAGCCGTTCCCTGGTTAAAGGCATTGAATCCAAAGGCTTCGTGTTGCTGTAGCAACATGGGGCTGCTCTGGGATGCCAGGAACGCAGACAATGTGGCTGGGTGATGTCCCCTCCCCGGCACCCTGTGCTGTGCTGGGTCCCCTCCCCGGCACCCTGTGCTGTCCTGGGTGCTGGGTCCCCTCCCCGGCACCCTGGGCTCTCCCCTCGGCGCCGTCCCCAGCCCTCTCCCCGGCACCCTGTGCTGTGCTGGGTGCTGGGTCCCCTCCCCGGCACCCTGTGCTGTGCTGGGTGCTGGGTCCCCTCCCCGGCACCCTGTGCTGTGCTGGGTGCTGGGTCCCCTCCCCGGCACCCTGGGTCCTCTCCTCGGCGCCGTGCCACGCTGGGTGCTGGGGCTGTGGCCATCCTTGGGAACCATGGGTGTTACCCCCACCAAGTCATGGTGGCTGCAGCTCTGCAATGTCCCCAGTGCCCCAGGCTCGGTTCCTGCCCTGGGCCTGCTCCCGGGTTTGCTCCATAGGGAAGAGACCAGCACTCATGTTTCTGCACTGGGATGCCTGGTAGCCCCGTGTCCCTGCATCCCCACCCCAAGGTGACTTCATTTCCCCATTCTCCCAGTCTCCCAACCTCCAGCTCCAGCTTCCAGACAGAAGGGATTAAGGAAGGGAAGTGAGAAAATAAACACATGGGGAAAACCCAAACAAACTCAGCACAGCTAATGAAGCAAACAGCCTCGATGCAAATCACTGCCCAGCTTTAACCCAGCCCTGCCACGGCGGGGACACATCCTGCCAGCATCAGTGTCACTCTGCCTGCCATGTGCTGCCTGTCCCTGGGTCTCCACAGGGATTTTAGGCATTGAGATGAGGGTTTGGATGTTGTGCCTGGAATTGAAGGCTGCCAGTGAGGAAGGCGAAGCACCAAAAATGAGTTGTGATGGGCAGAAATTGAATTTTAATAGAGATGTCGGTGGCACGGAGCCAGCCCGCTCAGGCGGTGGGAAGGTAGTAATTAAAAGTTAACGAGTTTAGAAACAGAGTAATCTTTGGAGAGGGGAGGGCTGGTGCTGATGGTCTGGGAGGCTCAGGGATGCTCCTGTTTGTGCAGGGGCCAGGAATGGCTGTGGGTGCATTGGCAGCACGGCCAAGAGACGTGGGGTGCAGCCAGAATCCCCCCCAGCTTGGGGTTGGCATGGGCCCCCCAGTGTGTCCCCACTCTGGGGGCAGCAGGGACCTTCCCCAGGCCTGGCTGTGCCTGTGACAAGATGCACTTGTGCTTTGCAGCAGGGCTGTCGGGAGCTTGTACCTGGGTGGCCATCCAGACATGGGGACATCACGTCTCAGTTCCCAGCCAGGATGACGTTCCCCCACCTGTTTTGTCCTCAGCATCCTCACTGCCCCTCCCCAAAGCCAGCACCACCAGCTGCTCTCACCCTTCTGCATTCACCCATTTTTCTGCCCATTGTTCTGGGGGCTGCAGGCTGGGGCTCACTCCCCCTCAGCCCCCCAGGAACCACCCCGGTTCATCTTCACCTGCCGGTCGGACGAGCTCGGGCTGTGATTTAAGGGAAGGAGCCACAATCCCAGTTTGGCAGCGTGTTTCCATGGCGACCGCCCTTTCCTTCCCGCGGCGATTCAGCCACCAGCTTCCACCGGGGAGACTTGGCGTGCGGCGAAGGGCAGGTGGGGAAGGGGCTTCTCGGGTCCCTGGTTATGGGCCAGCGAGAGCCAAGGAGGTCCCGCTGCGTGCAGGTGGAGCCAACCCTCGGGAGCATCCCTAGGAACCACCGGGGAATCAGGGCCCGGCTTGGCTCCATGTGTGTGCAGAGCTGTGCCATCTCAGGAGTGTCCCTGGGGACCATGGGCCATTTGGGACTATGGGGGGATTTGGAACCAGCCTGGCTCTGTGTATGTGGAGCCACCCCCCGTTAAGAGCATCCCTGGGGACCATGGGGGGACCAGGGACCAGCCTGGCTCTGGGTGTGTGCATGGAGTAATTCCCCCTTGGGACCATCTCTAGGAACTGTGGTGGGAGGAGGGCCCCGCCCGGCTCTGTGCACGTGTGGAGCCATATTCCACTGGGAGCATCCCTGGGGCCTGTGGGGGATCAGGGACCAGCCTGGCTCTGCGTGCATGGAGCCATATTCCACTGGGAGCATCGCTTCCGTGGGGCGTGGGGGGGATCGGGGACCAGCCTGGCTCTGCATGCATGGAGCCATATCCCATTGGGAGCATCCCTGGGGCCTGTGGGGGATCAGGGACCAGCCTGGCTCTGCGTGCATGGAGCCATATTCCATTGGGAGCATCCCTGGGGCCTGTGGTGGGACCAGGGACCATCCTGCCTTCCCCCACTTGCTGCCTCCATTGCCTGCTGCCAGCCTGGGCTGCACGGAGGCAGCTCTTTCACAGGACCCCCGCTGCCCCCTGTGCCTGGGGACCCCCAGCAAGCCCCCGGTGCCCGCTGTGACCTCCTTAGGGTGACAGCCGCCCGGCGGTGACAGTTTCCCGGCGCATTTCCCTGCATCATCCCGCCGTGCCGGGCTCTCCCGTGGACTCCCCTGTGAGCTCCCGGGGCCCGGCTCCTCCTCGTACCAGGAATCATAGCATGCAAATCAGGCAGCTTGATGTCTTTAATGAAATCCTCTGAAGGAAAGTGCTTCTCTGGTGAATTGAGGATATTTATTTCTCACACAAGAAATTTAACATGCAGATTAGTTTGGTCTGGTAATTTATCACATGAGATTGTCCTATTAAGGGTTGCAGCGAGTCCTGCTGCCTTTGGAAATTACCTTACACATAGATTACCTCTGGACAGACTCCCATCCGTAGAGATGCATCCTGTGTCTACTAAATCAGCCCTTTTTCCTCTCCCCAAGTCCCTCCACTGCTGGTGTGGGAGCCCGGCAGCCACTAAAGGATCCTCTGCCTCCTCCCAAGAGCTCAGATCCCCCTTCCTGTGATTAAATCTCTTGCTGGCTTTGCTCTCTGTGCCTCCCCCCAGCAGAACAGGGGTTGGATGTCTGAGCATCCCACCTCTGCCCTGGGTTTCTTGGGCAAAGTGCAGCCCCTAAGACCCCGTCAGCCCCAGGGTTGGTTTTCTGGCACGTGGTGACTTCTACCCACCCCCACCTGCTTCCACGCGTGGGGAGGGTTGGCAGGAGCTCTGTGGGAAGATTTGGGGCTGTTTTGAGCTCACTGGGTTGGGTTTTTTTTGGGCCGTGCATTCTCCAGGGATTCGTGGTGTGCTGCACGCCTGGCACCCTGCCAAGCCTTGGTGGCTTTTTGAGGACTCCAGATGTTTGATGCCCGTCCCCAGCTTACAGAAAATGTGGAGCCAGGACCCTCTCAAAATAACAAACCTGGGGGCAAACAGGGGGGCTCACCCCCAGCTCCCTTCTGGGACCCCAACCTTTGCCAGCAGCTGTAGCTGAAGCAGCTCTTGGCCAGCCCAGGTGTGAAGCCCAGCCCTCTCCTCCCTGGGGAGCTAATTGCCTTCAATAATACAATTAATGGGAACTGATAAATATCAGAGTGGTGTTGGCCAGGCTACGTGGGAGCCCAGCAGTGAGTTTCTGGTGGTGGCTGCAGCCTGGCCAGCTTTGTGTTTGGCATTGCCCTGTGTGGAGGTGAGGCAGCACCCAGTAGGTACTGGGAAGCACTGGTGGAGCTTTGCTGGTGATGCTCAGGCTGCCAAGGCCCCTGCCTCTTGCTGTGCCTTGTTTGGCTTGGAGAGGGGGCACTGGGGGAGGTTGGTGTGAGAACAGGGCAGGGGTGCCCGGCAGTGGGGCTGGCAGGAGGCACGTGGGGGGAAGGTGATGGAGGGGATCTTCTGGCTGGGACTTTATGTGGGCTCAGGCAGCCCTGGGAAGGAGATGGAGGAGGGGCCTCACACCTGAGGATGCCACCAAGGAGATGGGTGAGGTCCCTGAGACCTGGAGGTGCCACCTGAGCTGGGTGGTGGCCAAGCTCCCGGTGAGGGACGCTCTGGAGCCCTCTAGACGCTGCAACAGGGATTGAGGTTTGTGCACTCGCTCCCCCTCCCTGTTCCACAGGAAGGTGGCAGATTAATACATGAGTATTAATTATTAATCGGCTCATTGTTCTGGCAGGGCCAATTGAGGTGGGGATTTACGGGGCTGCCGGCGCCCGCCCAATTCCCCTGACCAAAGGAAAACACTCCTGGCGAGCAGAGAGGCCACAGCTCCGGCCGTGTGCCTCAAAACGGGGCCCTTTCCAATCAGGAGCTAATTGAGATCCAATAATACAGTTAACAGGGGCTGATGAGATGCCAGGGGGGTTATTTAGAAGCGTATTGAGCGGCAGCCCCGCGCCGCGGGGGGTGCGGGGCCGCGTGGCTCAGATGCTGGGAGTCGTTAAACCTTTGCTAAGTGTGTTTTAATGCTCACTTGACATTTCATTATCACGCAGTAACTATTCAAATACGCGTCCCCTCTAGAATTAATTAGTCGTTACACAGGATATTAATCAAAGGGGACTGTGCCAATGTGCTTATATCCAAAAATCTGATCCAGCTGTTGCCGTCACTGGGCGGCATTGAAAGAGCCACACAGATTTCTGGCTTTCAGTTTGATGGATCAAATCCTTTGGCTGATGCTTTTCCCGGCCCCTTTCCACCCCCTCAATCTAATAATAATTGGGCAGTGTCAGCCCCATGCTTCTCAGCAGCCCTGCAATACCAGCCTGGTGTGTGCAGCCTGGCGTGCCGTGGTGCCCGTGCTTTGCCAGGTTGCACAGCGAGGAGGGATGGGATGGACATCATTCCCAACACACAGCCCGTCTGTCTGTCAAATCCAGCTTGTGCCAAAGCCTTTGGCAACCCTCCCAGCCCCTCAGCATGGGCCTCCTGACCCTGGGGCTGAGTGTGGCACAGCTGCCTCTTGACCCGGCCTGGACACTGCCCCTCATTTCCATCAGTGCCATTTTTTTGGGGAGCACAGGTCAGTCCTCGCTTCAGAAGTGCTTTTCCCCACAGACCATGCCCTGTCAACCTCTTTCTTTGCAAACAGCCCAAACAAGCTCCTGAACCAGCAGAGTCAGCAGCCAGGGCTGTGCTGGGAGTGTGACCAGATCTCCATCCCAGCTGGAGTGGGGAAAAATGTGTCTCCAGGATGGGCAAAGTGACCTGGTCAGGGCAGTTCCCCTGGGCAACAAGTGGCAGGATCAGCTCTGAGCCGAGGACCCAGGATCTGCTGGCCAAGCAGGAGCAGTTGTGGCCATGGTTTGTAGCCAGTCAAACTGGGGGGGCTGCACAGGGGGCTGGGGCTTCACCCCTCCTCCCACCCCACAGCACATCCCCCAGCAAGGGGTGCAATAGGTCAGTGCCCCCCTGCAGCCTGGTGTGACAGGGGGAGGAAACCAAAGCAGAGTGATCTTGGCAAGAGCCTCCGTGGAAGCCGAGTGGCAGAGAACAGTCTCTGCTGGTGTTTGGTTAATGACTGCAGGCCGGGCTGTGCCCAGGAATTGATTTCCTTTCTCTGGGCTATTTTCATCCGCTTAGTTGTGTGCAAAAAGCTCAGCTCCCTCAATAGCTGCTCCAGTGGTGTGTGTGGACCAGACCATGGCAACTGGGGCTTCAGGGGTGTCCCCATTGGAGGGTGAGGGCTCCCTGTGCCCATGGGGATGTCCCAGCCCCCGGGGCTGCACATCAGTGGGTGCTTCATGTGTGAGTGTGTGTGAGCCTCGAGGGGGGGGTTTGGAGGGGATGTGGCAGCGGGGTGCACAGGGGGTGCTGTGTGGGGACCACACATGGCCACACAGTCTGTCTGTCCATCCCTGTGTGTGTGTTTAGGAGTCATGGTGTGTGTGATTTATTGCCGAGGACACCACAAGGAGAGCGGGCCCGTTTTTCCTGGTGTCCACATCAGTTCCTGACAGCTCCGTGGAATCGAAATACCTTATTTAAAGCCTCCGGGGATCATTTTTAAATATCAGCCACGACACTCAAGGACTCGTCCCCAAAGGGCATCTTCCCTTCTCCTGCTGGGACAGGTGACCCCAGCACACCACGTGGGTGGTGTCAGCAACGGGTTTGGTGCCAGCTCTGCTGTGCCCACCATGGCTCAGTGGTGCCACTGGGCAAGGTGGGAGCCCTGTGTCTCCAGCACTGGGGAGGGTGGGCACAGGAGCCTGCTGAGCTTTCCAGCAGAAGGGACGTGCTCCTCATGTCTTATGAAAGTTTAATTTACGCTCAGTTATCAGCAGAACAAACAAAGCTCTGCTGAAACAGCCCGCGGCGCCTTTTAATGTGAGATTAGATTTTGGGCAGGGAAGGTTGAGCTGGTTGATTTATTCCCTTTCTGCTTTATCTCGGAGCATTCCCCGTCAGGGAAGGCAGTGCTGCCACAGCTGCCTGACCCCCCCCCAGGGTCACCCATCTGTGAGCCCAGTGAGGGGGGTTCCAGCCTATTTTGAGGGGTGATGGAGCAGGAGCACCTGCATCCCTCCTGGGGGTGGGGACTGGTCTGGTGGCTGCGGGATCCAGCCTGGGGACCAGAGTGATGCTCGGGGGCAGTGGGTGAATCGAGACGTGGTTATTTTCTTTATCTGCTTATCGGCTGCTGGCGGCTGATAAGAGCAGCGGCTGGGGATGATAAGGCAGCTCAGCCCTGGCTAATCAGAGCCGCGCTGGGCGGGACCACAAGTGGGATGACACCAGCAGCCCCCAGCGTGCCTCTGCCACCCACTGCCGGGGGTCGGCACACGGGTGAGGACAGTGAGTGCCAGGTCCTTGGCAGGTGCATACAC